ACACAGAGGGCCCTGGGGACCGGGCTGCACACCCCGGGCACACATGGGCCCAGGGATCCTCCCTCCCATGGGGACCCCGACTCACATTCACCCCGAAGTCGGGGGATGTGGCGCTCCAGATGGCGCCGATGCTCGCTGCGGCCAGCATGGCCTCCACGGCGTGCTCGCTGTTGGGCAGGTACCCTGCAGGGGGGGCGGGAGAGACCGTGGGCTCGGGGCGTTCTGGGCAGACGCTGAGCAGTGGCTCCCAGCTGGTCCTGCCACTGAAACGGGCGGACAGGGCCTGGCCCCTGATGGCTGACCTGCGATAAGGCCAACGGCTCTCCGCCCGCTTGGCAAACACAGCTGAGTGCCCACGGGCTCCCCCCCGGAGAGGCACACCCAGGCCCCTCCCTCTGCCTCGGTCTCTCCCCGAAACACTCACCCACGACCCGGTCTCCTTTCCTCACGCCCATTTTCCGCATCGCGGCCGCGAACAACGCCACCTGCTGCCGCAGCTCCTCAAAGGTCACCTTCACGATCTCCTCCCTGCCCTCCCCTGGAAGAGAAAAAGGACGGTCGCGCCGGCCGCGTGGCTCCGTGGCTGAGTGGCGCCCTAGGAACCAGGAGGTCAGGGTTCGATTCCCGGTCAGGGCACATGCAGGATTGCGGGCTCGATCCCCAATGGGGGGCGTGCAGGAGGCGGCCGATCCATGATTCTCTCTCATCATTAATGTTTCTCTCTCTCCCTCTCCCTTCCTCTCTGAAAACAATAAAAATATGTTAAAAAGAAAAGTTCTGGAAGCGGACAGGGGTGACGGCTTCACGCCTGTGACTGTGCTGACCCCCACTCAGGCCCACACGCCATGGGGTGATTCTGTAAAGGGCTCCTGTGCTGGCACCTGAGTGACACCCCCCAGGAGGGAGGGAGGAGGGGGAGCGGGGACGAGGGCGTGGGTCCCGGGACTCACTGGCCACGTAGAGGGCGACCTTGTCATTCTCCCGGTGCCGCAGCAGGTTCTCCGCGTAGTTCAGACGGCTGCCCGCGAACCACTCGGGGACGTCCGCCACCCCCTTGGAGGGGTCCACCACCTACAGGGAGCGGCAGGGAGCAGGCACACAGGGCGAATGAAGAACCGAGACGCCTCGTCCCAGGAAGCCCAGGGCCTCCTATCCCCCCTTTTACAGACGAAACCCTGAACTGGCCTCAACTAGGAAGTTGGGGCTTCCGCCTTCTCCCCACACAAAATAGAGTGAGCCCGGTCGGTGTGGCTCAGTGGCTGAGCGTGGGCCTATGAACCAGGAGGTCACGGTTCGATTCCCAGTCAGGGCACAGGCCCGGGTTGCAGGCTCCATCCCCAGGGGGGCGAGGCGTGCAGGAGGCAGCCAATCAAGGGTTCTCTCTCATTGCGGATGTTTCTCTCTCCCTCTCTGAAGTCAATAACAATGTATTTTTTTAAAAAAAGAAGGAAAGAAAGAAAGAGAGAAAGGCTAAAAATGAACACTTCACTTTGGAACAGAACCATAAAGATGACACGTGACAAGAACCCCCCTTACCTCGTCATACATGCGCGAAGACACGATGCCGCTGAATGTCCAGAATTCGGCCCAGAAGTCTGCATAGGACTCCACTGACCACTGGTACAGGTCGTGGTAATTTCCTGGAAATAACGTCAAAGGGCACAGGGCTCAATGAACCTCAGAAGCAAAGCCTGAGCAGTTCCGTAGCAGACGGGCCCCCCTGAGGAACCCCGGGCACCTCCGGGCGGTCCCCGGGCGTCCCAGGAGGACGGCCAGGCGGAGGGGATCTTGATTTCTGCTGAAGCAAACCCACCCCCGCTGGTCCCCACAGGGCACAGAGCCAATGAGGAGCGGGTGCGTGTCTGAGCCGGCAGCACGCCTACGACCGGGGACCCCGGAGCCACAAGGCCGGGGGTCCAATCCGGGCTTGACCACTGATCAGCTGTGGACCTCAGGCCAGTTACTTCCGCCCGCGCTGTGCCTCGGTGTCCGCCTCTGTAAGAGGGAGGTGACAAATAGCAGCCTCTCCTCACAGGGCACCTCGGCGGGGGGACAGGAAAGGCTCACTGCCGTGTGACGTCAGCCCGCCCGGCAGGGCTCAGTGGTTGAGCGTCGACCTATGAACCAGGAGGTCAAGGCTGGATTTGAGGTCAAGGTTCCATTCCCGGTCAGGGCACAGGCCCAGGTTGCCGGCTTGATCCCCAGTGTGGGGGGTGCAGGAGGCAGCCGATCAATGGTTCTCTCTCATCATGGATGTTTCTCTCTCTCTCCTTTCCTCTCTGAAATCAATAAAAACATATTTACCAAAAAAAAAAAAACAGTGCTCACCCAATATTAACTCTCATGAACGCCCGTTGCCTGCTCAGCCCCGTAGGCATCTGGGTTTGCAAGCCCTGCGTTCCCTCTGCCTACTCTCCCTGTCCACTCGCAGGATTCTGACCAGCCTGCACCTTCAAACCTCAGCAGAGATTTTGTCGGCCCTGGGAAGGGGCGCCCCGATAGTCCTGGGGTGCAGTGAGGCACCGGGGGTTGGGCCGTGCTGCCCCGGCAGCTGATACCCCAGAGCATGGCTATTTTTGCATGAGTTTCCCACCCCCAACTGCACTCGAACTATTTGAGGACAGGGACGCGGCCTGCTACGGGCTGGCACTATCCCAGCTGCTGGCCCACAGCTGGCGTGTACAGAAAGGCACTTGGCACAGGCGTTCCAAAGAGCATGTACCCCAAAGCGGCGGCGCTCCCCTCATGAGAGGGCGGCCCATGTGGCATGTCTGGTGGGGCCCAAGAAAGGGCCTGGCATCGCCCGCCACCATGCCCACTGGCCGGACTGCAGGCTGCCCCCGAGGGTCTGCCTGGAGGGCAGGGGTCCTCAGTGAGCTCTGCTGGGAGCAGTGACAAGAGCTGACCTACCCCCCTGCCCACGTGGCTCAGGGGTTGAGTGTCAGTCTACGAACCAGGAGGTCAGGGTTCGATTCCCAGTCAGGGCACAGGCCCGGGTTGCAGGCTCGATCCCCAGGGGAGGGGCTGCAGGAGGCAGCCGACCCATGATTCTCTCTCCTCATTGATGTTTTTCTCTCTTTCTCTCCCTCTCCCTTCCCCCCATAAATCAATAAAAATATATTTTAGAAAAAGAAGAAGACCCGGCCATGCTCTGCAGGCCTGGACGGGGCCAGGTGCACCATCTGCAGGTCCACGGTCAGCGAGGAGCCTCTGGGCCAAGGAGTGACCAGTCAGACCTGCTTCCCGGTGGCTCTGGCAGCGCCAGCGGGCCCTGCTCGGGAGTGCTGAGCGCGGGAGGGAAGGCAGGAAGCAGGCGGACCAGCCAGGGGTGGAGGTGGAGGAAGAGGAAGCGGCCCAGGAGGTGCACGGGGTGGAGGGGGATGGGAGAGGCGGCAGAGCCAGGTGGACACCCCGTGCAAGCCGGGGGACAGGTGATGCGGACTGAGGAGAGGGGTGCAGCCCACCCAGGGGGGAGAGGGGAGCAGAAGCCATGAGGAGCTGAAAACCCCAGAAGAGGGGGGGGAGGGTGGTCAGCATGGTGTGGGACAAGCCAGCAGGAGCTGGGGGGACACAGGCAAGGAGGCCTCCTCCCAGCCCACCCCCCCCCCGGGTGGCTGGGGTGCAGCTGGAAGGAGGCCCTTCCAGGTCTCCTTGGGGCTGGGAGCCTGAGCAGAGGGGAGGGGCTCGCCCCAACCCCAAAGGCAGGCTCCCACCTGACCCTCCTCCTCCTGGGCGCCCTGCAAGTCCTCGCTGGCCTTCGGGCAGGGTCAGCCTGGGGGTGGGGTGGGGGTACCAGGGGGCAGCACAGGGTACTGAGGGCGGGCAAGTGACCCCACAAACAGAGGGGAGAGCTGCCAGGCGGAAAGGGAGCCTCAGGCTGCAGCGCAAGACCCCAGGGCGCCCCTCAACCCACAAGCAGGAACCTCGGGAGCAGGGGACCACCCCCCCTGTGGACTGAGGGGTCCCCAGGCCAGAGGGGGGACCCTCGCAGGGAGAGGACGCCCCACACGCCGGGAGAGGCTGCAGGCAGGAGTCCAGCGCCCAGAACGTGGGGAGGTGACGCCCCGCGCAGACAAGGGGGCCACCCCCACAGTGCGAGGCGCCGCACACCCTGGAGAGGGACCCCAGTCCAGTGGCTCCTTCAACCCCCAGAAGGGGGAACCGGACATCGGGGGCCCTTCGAATGACTAGGGGAGGCTCTGAGAGCAACGCCCGGAAAGGGGGCGCCGCGGGCCCCGGGGAGCGGGCC